AATTATATTAAGTGAAACAAGTCAGGCACAGAAAGAGGAATACCACATGTTCTCACTTATTCGTAGGAGCTAAAAATAAATAAATAAATAAACACAAACAAATGGGGGGGGAAGAAGACACAACAATCACAATTCCTTGAACTTGTTAAGGCAAGTGAACAGATTTGATGTAAGGTGGGGGAGGGGAGAGGGGGAAAGGAACTGGTAAATGGTCATGAAAATCAACTACAATGTATATTGAGAAGGTAAAATAAATAATAATAATAATAACAAACTCATATCATTGACAATATCAAATATTGTTAAGAATTTGAAGGAACTGAAATGCTTATCTATTGCTGGTGGATAAAACATACTAATATGTTTATTTGAAATAATGATTAAGAGTTTCAAGTATCTTTTTAAAAAAAATCTCCAACTACAGCTTGAAAATTGGATCTTCTTTCTGTGCTAATTCTCCCTTCCAAACATACTAATATGTTTATTTGAAATAATGATTAAGAGTTTCAAGTATCTTTTTAAAAAAATCTCCAACTACAGCTTGAAAATTGGATCTTCTTTCTGTGCTAATTCTCCCTTCCACAGTATCTATTAACATCCTTGTTTTAATTCAGCCCTGAGGTGCTGAAGAGTGAGCCCTACGGGGAGAAAGCTGATGTCTGGGCTGCAGGTTGCATCCTTTATCAGATGGCGACTCTGAATCCTCCCTTCTACAGCACCAACATGCTCTCCTTGGCTACAAAAGTAAGCAATGTTGGGAGACACAGGGTTGCATGTTTCTAAAATGCCATACCTTTTTTTCTTAAATAGAAACTTTGTGATTTTCATACTATTGCCAATTAAAAGTAGGCATTGTTTTATTGACTGCATGACCCAGTTTATTTTTTCCCTTTCTTCTAAATATAACATGCTATAGCATATTTCTCTTTAAAATTGTCTCCATTTATCATAGAAAATTTTCAAAATGAATATATCAAATTACTTTTTGTTTTCATTTTACAATGAATCTATGGATAACTTAACTCAGCTTGGAGAATACAATTCCATATTTGAGAACTGTTTATTTGATGTTAATTTTTTATTTGGTTGGGATATTTTAACTTCTGACTAAAATTTGTACATGAAATTATATTGCTTAATTAGTAGACCTCAAGTTGTAGCTAAGTAAGAATTACAGCTGAAAGATATCAATGACCCCTTTACATCCATCATTCCTGTGTTTTTATTTTGCAGATAGTGGAGGCAGTATATGAACCAGTGCCAGAAGGCATCTATTCTGAAAAAGTGACAGAGACCATCAGCAGGTAATTAGTCTCACAGTTTTCAGCATATAGGGACTATCAAGAAATACATCATCTCTATAAGAATTCACTATTCATGAGTAAATATTCATGAAGAGGAAGGATCCCCAAATAATCCAAACATAGAAAAATCTTTGTGCATCATCAGTAATAATGACCCAATAGAAACCACAGAAATGTCCAAAAGGAAGCAGTATATTCACTTGAAATATTATGCAACCACTAGAATGATCATGTGGAAGGTTTACTGTCAACCTGTAAAATGTGTATGATATGAAGCTAAATATAACAAACAGGATGTAAAGCTGCTTGTAACTATGACAAAAACCATAAAAATGTGCACAAATGTGGAAGAAGACAGGATAAGAACACATGAAACAGAAAACAGCCATGTTAGATGATAAAATTGTAGGCACTTTTTCATTTGAATTTTTCTTTTTTCTTTTTTTTTTGTATTTATTTATTAAGTTAGTTTATTTATTTATTAATATTATTATTTTTTTTACATTCTAAGATGTTGTTGCAGAGCAGTTGGGGGAGGTGGGAGTGGAGAAGGGGAAAGGAAATAGGATGGGAGAAGGAGGAAGGAGGGGGGTGTGGATGAGGCCTGTGGCACCCCCCTCATTCCTGCAGGGGAGACCAGGGGTCTCCCAGTGGAGGCTGGGTTGTTGCTGGGCTGGATGCAGATGTCAGGGGGGTGTGGCTGAAGCCCTTGGCCCCCTATCACCCCGGCTCAGGAGCCCAGGGCAGCTCTGGCTGAAGCTCAGTGGTCATGGCTGGGCTGGTTGCAGGTGTCAGGGGTGTGGCTGAGGCCCTTGGTCCCCCACTGCCCCAGCTCAGGAGCCCAGGGTGATTCCTGTTGTGGCTGGATGATTGTTGCTGGGCTAGTTGCAGGTGTCAGGAGGCATGGCTCAGGATCCTGGCCTTCCCTCCTCCCTAGCTTGGGAGCCCAAGGGTCTTCTGGTCCTTCTAGGTTTTATAGGTGTTCTTTGGTGGTGTTAGGCCTTTATTAGTTAATGTCAAACTTTGTCCCTGATCTGTGGGCATTTTGTTTTTTCTTTCAGTTCTGTGTTGGATTATTCACTGTTCCCGCCACTTCAGCTCTGCACTGGAACTAATTTGTTGTTCTTTGCTTACTTCTAAAATGGGGGAATTTCCTGTGGGGACCAGCACTTGAGCCCTGTAGTTGAGCTAAATTGCTGC